CACTGAAGGAGCTGGAGAGATGGCTCAGTGGTTAAGAATGCTGTGACCGCTTTTCTAGAGAACCCAGATTTGACTCCCAGGACCCACGTGGTGGTTCATAACTGTCCAAAACTCCAGTCCCAGTGGAATCCACTGCCCTCTTCTGGCCTCTAAAGGCACCAGGAATGCACATGGTACACAGATATACATACATACATACAATCACCAATACACATAAAATAATTTTATAAAATTTAAAAACTACAACAAAATTATCTCCTTACTCAAGTAAGAATGGTTATCATCAAAAAGACAAAAGACAAAAGACATGACGTGCTAGGGGCAACATGGAGAGATACACAATGTTGGTAGAAATGTAAATTAGTATAGGGGCATCATAGAGAACAGAATGAAGATTTCTCAAAAAAAATGAAAAACAGATCTTCCACATGGTCTAGCAGCCCTACTACTAGTTACATGTGTAAAAGAAATGGAATATAGACATCTGCACTCTCACATTTAGTGCAATACTATTCACAATAGTGAAGAAGAAAATAAAAATGTACATATGCATAATAAAATACTATGTAGCCATAAAGAGAAGGAATCTTAGCATTTGAGACAACATATAAAGAATTAAAAGTCATTGTGCTAAGTGAAATAAGAGAGGCATAGAAAGTACCATATAATCTCATTCACATTTGGATACAAAACTGTGGACCTTATAGGAAAAAATAATATCAATGAGTAAAATATTAAAAATCCTCTTCAAATATCATTATCAAAGATCTCAATGAGATCACAAGTTTTTATCTTTTAACGTGCTTCTGCCACATCTAATTACTTGCAGTTTTTCAACTGAGTCTTTATATATACTTGTTTCCATCTGTTCAAGCATTCATTCATTCTTCATTCATTCATCTCATTGACAAACATTTTTCAAGTTTCTACTGTGTGACAGGCACTATGCTAAGAGTGCAAGGGGGGCTCTTTTCTCATGGAGGGTACATTCTGGAAGGAAAAGCTAAAGACAAAAGAAGAAGACCAGAGCCGGGGATGTGGCTCAGTAGTAGGATGCTTATCTAGAATACATGATTTGACCCTAATACCACAAACAAGGAGATGACGGCAACAGCTTATTAGAGAAAACAGAGATGGGACAACGCCACAGTATCTGTGCAGGCAGGGCAGTTCAACGAAGTAACACATTTCAGCTTTCCTTACATGAGAGTTCATTCCTCTTTCACCTTCACACCATTTCTCTGGGAAGCATTTTCGGGGCCTTCTATCTTGTTCTGTCTCTTCTCTTTTCATGATCTCTAGCATTCTATCTACACCTTCATCAAAGAACTTCCCTATGACTGACCATGTGGCCTTACTTCCCAAGCTAGGCAGCAATTAACATTTGTGAGAACAGGGGCCTTATTTTAACTCCGGACCACAATGCGCAGCACAAAGGACCTCCAAAAGGATGAGATGGACCAGCTGGACATGCCAGTTTTGTGGTTATTTTGTTTTGCTTTTTTTTTTTTGAGACAGAAGCCTACTTTGCAGTCCAGGCGGCTCCCCACTTTGTTGCAATCATCTTGCCCCACCCTCCCACATGTTGGGCTTGCAGGTGTGAGCCACTGTGATTGGCTAGTACACAACTTTTAAGTACCTCTGATGAAATTTTCAGTTATCATAAAGAAATGCGACAAAGGACATCCTGGACAAGGAAATGAGACAAGAAATTTTAACTAAAAACACTGAAAAGGGAAAGAATGGAATATTACTTTGTTAAAAGGATGAACTAAAACTAAGCCTAAAGCCATCTTCTTTTTGTACATTGTTCATTCTCTGACAATCTGCATTCCTCAAGGACAACCCATTACTGTATTGTTGCTAGCCTTTTCCTTCCATACAGTAAGCTTTCTATAGATGCTGACCATGCCCTTCATGTCCTTTGTCCTATATCCACAGCAAACTGTCTGCTTAATGAATTAATTTCAAGTTTTAAAGTTCATCCGTGTGGTTTGTCTTTAACTAGGCCAAAGACTATCCTTACATCAATAAATTATATTCAAATTGCATGGTCAATGAAGCTGAATGAATTTGAAAAATGTCTGCTTCAGATATCACAATGGGCTAAGTGCTTCAAGATATTTAAGAGAAAAAATGAGAAATTTTGGGAAGGCAAAATATATATCATTTCTTAACAAACAGCAGAAATTTTATACTCAGTACTCTGTATTTACATGGAATAGAACAAACTGTTAAGACACAGTACCAAGTACATGGAGTATGTATACAAATGGGGAAATGAAATATTTTTGCTGAAAAGGTAAAGAGAAGCATGGATCTTTTCTAGTAGAGGAACATGTCTGACTTATAACTGCTTCACTGAAGTCCTTGGGTTCACAGTCTAAATTAAGCATGGATAACATTGGCATACTGGCTTTGAATTATGTCCTTCTAGTTATTCTGTATTTGGACAAAAATGAAGCTAAAGTAGCAGAATTGATCAGAAGACATAAAGAAATCCAATATAGAATAAATATATATATCAGAAACCACATGTTAAATTTTCTATCAAGCACTATGAGCTATTTAAAAGCAAGGACTATTGATCACCAAGGGTCCACTGCAGCTGCCTGACAAAATTCTGAAGAATGAACTAATATTATCATATAAAATATTGCTTATAGCCCGATATGCTAGTGTATACCTGCAATTCCAGCACTTGGGGGCTGGGGCAAAAGGATTATAAGTTTAAAGCCACTCTGGGCTATACAGTGCATTCAAGGCAACCTTGAGCCACACAGATATATAGCAAGACCCCATTTCAAAAATAATTCTTAAAGTGTTGTTTATAAACTTTATTTGGGGATCTTTATTATAACACACAGATACATACACACACAGAGGGAGAGGGAGAGGGAGAGGGATCTAGCTCTGGCCCAGAAAGGATAGCCTCTTTCCTCCCAGGTTCCCCAGGTGGTATCAACCTCTGACCTCCACATGTGCTTGCACAGGCAGGCGCGCGCACACACACACACACACACACACACACACACACATACACACACACACACACACACACACACACACACATACACACACACACACACACCACGATAGTATGCACAAAAAACAACAAATGCCAAAAGAACCAACTTAAAAAGTGTTATGGCCTATATTATTTGTTTAAATAGCATCCTTGAAATGACAAAACTATATAGGTTAAGTAAAGATTAGGAGTTACCAAGGGCCAGGAATAAGGAAAAGATGTGGCTATGACTATTAAAAGGTACTATTGCTAAAACTACAGCATATTTTGACTATAGTGGGCACACAACTCTGTACAAATTATAAACAACGCTACACAAGTTATATATAACTAAACACAATGAGTGTATATCAAATTGGTGAAATCTGAAGGTTAATGGATTATGTCAATGTCAGTTGTCTACCTATGATATCATGCTAAAAGTTAACAGGCATAATGGTGCACAGTTCTATTTCTAGTAAATGGCAGGTAGAAGCAGAAAAAAAGTCAAGATGTTCAAAGTCACCCTTGGCTACATATTCAGTTCAAGACCAGCATGAGTTACAAGAGATTCTGTTTTAAAAACACAAACAAAAAATACAGTAAAAGTTGGGGGTATAGCTCCACGGCAGAGTGCTTGCTTGGCATGCACAAAGTCATGGGCCCAATCTGCAGCACTGTATAAACCAGGCATAGTGACACACACCTATAATGCCAGCACTAAGGTGAAGGCAAGAGGATCAGAAGAAGTTCAAGGTCATCTTCAGCTTCATAGTAAAGCACCACATCTTCAAGACCAGACTGGGATACATGATACCTGGTTCTACGACTTTCTTAAAAAACACTTATTTGGCCAGATGTGGAGGTACACACTTTTAATCCCAATACTATGGAGGCAAAGTCAGATGGATCTCTGTAAATTCAAGGCCAGTTTTTATCTACATAGGGAGTTCCTTAAAGGCAAATTCTGAACCAAACAAAGCTACATAGAAAGAGCCTGTCTCTAAAAACAGTTACTATTGAATATAATGATATACAGAGTCTGTTATTTCTTACAATTACGTTTGAATCTGCAATTACCTCATGGTAAAAAGTGTAAAGAACACAAGCAAGCTACATGTGAAAATGAAACAGGAACAGGAGTGACAGTAGCAGTGCCCAGTCTGATTCCATGGGCACTTGTGCAGTGTCCAAAAGGCACAAGCACCCCATTACTAAAGAACTGCTTCATCTTCACAAACCACTTCTAAAAAGAAGAACTCAAACTCATCATTTAACTAAGAGAATAAGTTTTCCAAATAAGACTGTGTCAACTGTCAGAACCAGACGTTATAAGCTACAGGTTTGATGATCTAGTCCTGTGTTCTCCATTTCCCCCAGTTCCCTGGGAGGGGAAGATGCTTCATGATGAGAGTACATTCCTTAAAAGGGAAGGGAAAAAAAAACCAACTACATTCTTTTTGCATATCTGGAAGTCATGGATATAGCCATGATTCTATTACATGAAATGAAGGAGGCTGATCCTAGAATCATGTCACGGAGTCACTCCACCTGAATTTTAAAAACTGTGAATACAGTGTCTTTTGCTTCATGGGCAGGAGGTAGGGGATTGTCTCACACTGTAGCCCAAGCTAGCCTAGAACACTCTGCAATTGTGTGGCCTCCATGAGCCACAACACCCAGCTTAGTTTGCTTAAATTAAGATGCACCAATGAAGAGTTCAAAAGACCAGTAAGAAGCTATCAGAGGAGGAATGCACATGGACCACTCTGTCTCTCACAACTTTATTGAATAAAGAATTCTCTAGAATAAGGTATGATAGGCCTGCATTGCATGAAACAAAGCTGAACATGATAGTAGATTAACATTAAATGGTAACCAAATTATTATTTCTTGAATAAAATTGTGTGTGGAGCTGACATGCAGGAAGAAAAGTCTGCAGCTCAACATTTTTCAATCATCTGTGGAATGTTTCAAAAGGCATTAGAAGACATGGGTATTATTTCTTACTTGTTTCAAATCAGTTACACAGGTATTTCACAAACCTTCCTCACCCTCTCCTACTTTCCAAATAAAATCTCAATATGAACATGAAAAATGCCAGTCATCCCAAGAGACTGCCAAACTCACAGCAGAAGGTAACATCTGAATTAATATGCATTATGTAGAAGAAAGTCAAGAATTTCCACTATTACCAAATTCATGTAGGCACATTTCATAGTTCACCTCTAAGCATTTCTTTACGTTTGTAGTGTTCACAAGTGCTGTTTTCAGTACAATTGTTTCATTTGGGGCTCTATCTTGGAAAAGAAAAATAGTTTCTGCCAGCAATATGATTGCTGCTATAATATACAAGAAAAAAAGACAACTCATTATAATCAACAGAACTATTATACATCATTCAATAAATTGGGGGATGCATTTTAAGGGAAAAGATAATTTACTTTTACATCAGGAACTAAACAGTATAAACACAGTATGGACTCAAATACTAAAATCCAAGAGAAAGTCTCAACTTTCAATGGTATGTTTGTATTACTTTAAAATGTAGGTTTGTGCATTTACACCATATCTGCTTCTATGGATAAATAATAAATCACTCTTCCCCATACACAGAACCATTCTAAGGTAATATGGAAGAGGAATGGCCCTTATGCATTGCCTAATACAAGTTATATTTGGACTAGAAGTTCTTTGAGTCAATCATTTTATTTATTTAGTTCATTTGTTTAAGTTACTATCTTTTCATTCTTGTGCTACTTGAGGTCTTACACATGCTAAACAAACCATCTACCAGTGAGCTAGATGCCTAAGCCTCCAGAGTCGAGCACTTTAAACAGTAACACATGTCTTGGTTACAAGTCTCTTCCACTTTCAATCCCAGACCCTGTGGTCTAATGTCTTTGTATTTGCTAATTTTTACAATTGAGGCCACTGAACACCAGCTGTACTGAAGCATGGGTACACTTTCTACTACACTTTGATTCCCTTTAGCAACCAAGCAAAATCACAATGTTTTCAAGCCCAAATTGCAATATCTAGGATATCAGGCTGCTATTGTCATGACCACTACTACTGCTGGATATCTGTTACTCTACAACGCTAGTGTTCAGTATCTTTGTTTTGCTTTTTCTCCACCCAAACCCTCTGAAAATTCTGCTCATCATCAGAGTGAAGACAAGGCTGAGTGCAGGGCCTGCCTGCCCTTCCCTGCTTTGGCTCTGTTATGCACTGTAACTGATGTAGTTTTGCTCACTTTAAACATAGACTGAAGCTTGTTTCACAGGACCCGCTTGATCCTTAGGAACCATGGCAGTGAGAACACTTGGTGAGGACTCCTGGGAAAGGCTCTGCAGATCAGCTGTACCATAGTAAAACTCATCCTCATCTCTCACACAATTCTTAACGGTGTTACATAAGACTTGGACCAGCTCAATTATATTCAAGACTAAAGATACCAGAGACACCACCAGCATGAAGACGATGAAGATGCTTTTTTCTGTGGGGCGAGAGGGGAAGCAGTCCACCTGATGCAGGCAAGGAGAGTGTTCGCAAATGTAAACTGCCTTCAGGGTAAATCCATAAATGTACCACTGGATCAGCACAAAGGTCACCTCAAAGACAGACTTGAAGAAGATACTGAGTAAGTAGGTCAGCAGCAACCTGCCTCTAATTTTCACCTTACTATGGGCTTCACTGCCATACTTGGACTTCTTTACTTCAATTTTCTGCCAGTGCATTTCCACACTGGCACCATCAAAGCGAGCAACTCCCAGTTCCTTCTCTTGCTTCTTCGACTTCTTTTTCTGCCGAATGGCATAGAACACATGTGCCAGGTATAAGAGTGTAGGCACAGACACGAATATGATCTGCAGGACCCAGAGGTGCACGTGAGAGATCGGGAAAGCTTGGTCATAGCAGACATTTTCACAACCAGGCTGCTGAGTGTTGCAGTGGAAATTGAGCTGGTCGTCATTCCAGGCTGACTCGATGGCAGTCTCCAGGAGCAGAATCCGGAAAACGAAAAGGATCTGCAGCCATATCTTTCCTCCAGCTCTGGAGTAGGGTTGAGACTCTTCCAGGAGCTGGCCTAAGGCACTCCACTTACTCATGCCGCCCTTTTGTTGCTCTTGCACTTTAAAGGGGAGTGGGCACCCCAAGTGACTGCACGCCTTGGAGGACGAAGTAAATGAAAAAGTGAGTTCAAGAGTCACGCCTGCCTGAAGGTTAAAAGCCTGCCACTGCTGTGTGGTGCCTTCCTCGTGCCTTCTCCTAATAAAAGACTATTGCTGACACCAGGTAAAAGCCAGCTTACGGGAATTCATTTTTTATAAATGGCAAGTGTTCCTGCACCAGAACATATGTGTATCTAGAATGGAACAAGTTACATAAATGGGAAAACAGATAAATTTAAAGGTCTTCTTCATTTAAGTAGAAGACAATCTCCAAAAATAATGAGTCAACTCTTTGGCATATTAACAATTCATACTCATACACTGATTGATGCAGCTTCAGAAGTTGGGCCAACATTTCCCAAAGAGAGACAATGATATTCATTCATCCATTATTTATTCAGTGTCTACAAGGTGAAATGTACTATAATAGGCATGAGCTCTTACTGTGAGTAAAAGAGAACATACTTGTGGAACGTACAATCAACTGGGGAAAATAGATCATTGCAAATATGGTGTCTTGCTGGTACATGCCAGTCTCAGAAAACCGAGGACGACCTCTGCTACCTAGTGAATTCCAGACCAGCCTGGGATACCTACTGAGTTATCCTGAGCTACAGAGAGCTTGTCTCAAAAAGCATAACATTTTATTAAATATGTGGTATAATTTGTAAATACATAATATAATTTATTATAAGATAAGTCATTTCATTTTGGAATTATGAAATGACTTATCTTATAATAAATTATATCTTGTATATATGTGTAAGATGTATCTTACACCTTAATTTCAGAAATAGGTGTGTGTGTGTGTGTGTGTGTGTGTGTGATATCTTATAATCAAAGCCAAGTCTCAGTGAGCAAGTGAATATACAAAAGCTGCAAATTTAAATAAATGCTGAGAAGATAACAACCAGGAGGCACTGACAAAGAATAAAGTAAGAAAACTCCAGCCAGATTGATTAGAGATAGTCAGACAAAAAGTAAGAAAATGATTGCTGGATGTGAAGGAAGCAGCCGAGATTAGAAAGGTGAAGACCTTGCTATATTCAAAGAATTAAAAGGCAGGAGGTTGAGGCAGCTGTTGGGGAAGTGGGCAGTGTAAGGGGTGAGGGTCCCAGAAGAGCTGTGTCAGGTCCCGCTTAGCAGCAGAAAGCCTGGATGCTGAAACGAAGATAACACTGTGAAACTAGGACAAGAGCAAGGCCATGGAAGAAGTTACAAAAGGTTGGCTGAGGCTTGCAGGGCGAGTGGGAGGGCTAGCAGGACCGGCAGCACAGGATTAGAGCAAGGGACATGGAGATCAGAAAAGGATGGGAACGCTATGCTAAGAGATAGCAAGGGAGTTTGGGTGGACACAAAATGTGACGAGGATATCAAGAACGACGGGGACCGGGAGTTAGGAGGATGTAATTATGATATATGAAGGTCTTAAGATGAAAACATTTTCAGGAGGAGCATTGATGCCATCCCCTAGGCGACTGAGTGTGGGTGGAAGCTGGTATGATGCAAACTATGAGCTGAGCAGTTCTGAAGACTTGCTAGTCTTCATCCATTTCCTCCCTAGAGCCCCTAGCTCTTTGCGAGTGAAGGGCTTTCTATCTCCAATTCAGAGAATAATAAATGAGTTTCACCAGGAATGGGCCACAGATAATTTTTACATAACAAACAACTAATATTTTTAATTAAATACTTTCAATGCAGCCAATCATTTATAAAGTAATTTTCATCTGCTGAGTTAAAATTACATTAATCATACTTAACATTTTAATTCCCCTCCTTCAAAAAACATTTTCCCAAACACAGATAGTCATTGTAAACAATTGGGTATAATAAAACAGGAAATTTTCTTAACACAAACACAGAAAGACTTTGCTGATTAATAACTAATTTTAGACACCATACAACTAATTTGCTTTTGGTTTAATGGCCATTCCTCACAGTACATTCTGTGAGGAAAAACAAAATTTAAAAGGAATCCTAGAAAAAAAAAAGTACAAGGTTAACAAAATTCACAGCATGTCAATCACCTGAGACTGATTGCAACTGTTATCCACGAACAAGAACTGGAGCTTCCCCAAATTAAAATGGTTAGCAAGTTATCAAATTATAAGGCTTCAAAGTACACAAAGTACTTTCTCAGCTGGATAAATAACACATTTTAGATTAACTGTCCTCTGTCGCACAGATTATAAAAGTAGTCCTATTAAGCTAAAGTCACCAAGATCTAGAGTTTATAATTAGTTCATTCCTCCAGGCTAATTGAAAACAAGGCCCTGGCAGTCTAAGACTGCCACTCTCATTCATTGGTCAAATTTAAACAGGGCCGAGTCTAAAGAGATTGTAAAGTGCCTTAAAAATTGAGTTACTTTTGCAAAAACAAATAGGGTCAAACAGTAAAGAAACTCCCCTAAAACTACCTTAGCATATTCTCGAAAAGGTAGCTGGTAAATCAAAAAACAAGGCTGGGGGAAGCAAGAGTCGTTTGGTTTTTTTGTTTGTTTTTTTTTTAAATGAATTCAGGGCACAGTTCTTAGCAATTTTCAAGAACTATATCAGGTCTTTAAGCTTTTCAAATATTTTGGTCTGAAAAAGTTCTTACTAAACATATGAAAATGGAGATCTAAGATTCAAAAGGATGAAAATAGCTGAGAATGAGTCATCTCAGCTAAGCAAATGGTGCACAGGAAAGTTTAAAACCCTCTTGTAGAGCATTATTTTTAAACTGGACAAGATCCTTCTAATTTTAAAATATAAACGTAGGACTTCCAGTTTCAGCTCCGACACATGCAGTGCTCAGAGATATCATCATTCTTGTCGTTACAGCAAGAGAAACCCTAACAAACTGAAAACTGGCAAGTTTGCCCCAGCCCACCGGAGAACATAAGAGCCCCTATCTCTAGGTAGGAAAATACATGCAATCACACCCAAGACTCTTACCTGAGGCAGAAGGCACTAGGGTAAAATATTAGCAAAGGAAAGAAAGCTGACAGACGCTGAGTGAGACACGCTTGTGGATTGAGAGTTCCAAGGGGAAGAGACCCTCCTACTCCGCGGCTTTGCCTCCGGGAATCTCACCAGGTTCTGCCTCTGAAATCTCCTCCCCTTTGAAGGAGAGGAAAAGTAACCATTCTGAAATATCCCCAGAAGAGCGAGCCAATAAGAATCTTTTCCTCGCTCCGCATGGTGGCGCCTGCCTTTAATGGCAGCACTTGAGAGACAGGCAGTTTGAGGCCAGCTTGGGAGTTCCAGGACAGCCAGAGCTTGTGTGTGGCCTTGGGAGTCCCAGGACACACAGAGACCCTGTCTCAAAAACCAAAAATAGCCGGGCGGTGGTGATGCTCGCCTTTAATCCCAGCACTCGGGAGGCAGAGGCAGGCGGATCTCTGTGAGTTGGAGGCCAGCCTGGTCTACCGAGCGAGTTCCAGGAAAGGCGCAAAGCTACACACAGAAACCCTGTCTTGAAGAAAAAAAAAACAAAAATAAAATAACAACAACCAAACAAAAACCTCTTCTTCTTTGGGGAAGGAGAATGTAAGCATTTCTGAAATAAACACCGGAGGAAGGCACCAGTTTTCAAGTCAATTCACTCTTATCGCTCAGGCCCACCTTTTACCTGGAATCTCCTGCCTCAGCCTCTCCAACAGCTAGGATTATAAGTCTGTACCATCGGACCCAGTTCAAATAAATTCAGAATGTTCTTCAATAACAAGGGCTAACAACACTCCCAACAAAATATATCAGAAGCTTATGTATCCCGGAAGAAGGGGAATTAATTAGCTCTAGTCCGAATGTTCCTTCTGTTTCACCTAACACAAGGGAAAAGAGAAGCAGTAGCCCTACAATATTTGTAAAGAATACAGCCAAGGACTTGTGCCCGACTGAAGCCCTAGATTACAAAACACTCTCCCCATCTTATTCTTTGCCACCATTTCAAGAAGGACCCAGTGCACAACAATGGATCATCACCAAATGTGGTGCAAACAACAGTCTCTATTGAAAGGTCTTAGGGAAAGGAAAGGGCCGAAGGGTAGAAAAAAAACAAACAAAAGGCTCTAGAGCAGTGGTTCTCAACCTGTGGGTCACGACCCCTTTGGATGTCACATATCAGATATCCTGCATGTCACATATTTATATTACGATTCATAACAGTAACAAATGACAGGTATGAAGTAGCAACGAAAATCATTTTATGGTTGGGGGTCACACAACATGAGGGTCCCATGAGGGTATTAAAGGGTCCCAGCTAGGAAGGTTGAGAAGCACTGCTCTAGAGACAACTGAAGGCAGTAGCAACTAAACTTCTACCATTAGAAACGGGCCGGCGAGGTAACATAGCTCAGCAGGTAAGGGTGGTTGGTGCCAACCCTGAGAACCTGAGTTACATTCTCAGAACTCACGTTTGAAGGAAACTTCAATCCCTGTGAATTGTCCTATGACCTCCACATGTGCAGCCACACACTTGCATGCATGCACACATACAAACCCAATGAATGAATGAATGAATGAATGAAAAGAATTTAATGGCTCAGTTCCTGGCTGAGAAACATAAGCCATTTACTAAAGGCCTATTTATTTCAGTTTGTATCATCCAATAGACCATATCTAGTGAGCACATACACAATACAAGGCATGCAAAAGAGTAAGAAAAAAACTACCTTAATAGACAAAGAAGTATCAGAACCAGATGAAGATAAGGCACAGCCTTGAGAATTATCACATAAGGAATTTAAAATAACTATGAATAAACCAGGCATTATGGTATATGCTTATAATGCTGGCACTCAGAAGGACCACTAGTTTAAGGCCAACTAAAGCTACATAGTGAGACACTGTGTCGAACAAAAACAAAACTATGATTCATGTATTAAGAACTCAAAAGTAGGCCTTTAATCGCAGCACTTGAGAGGGAAAGGTAGGCAGATGGACCTCTGAGTTTGAGGCCATCTGGGAATATACAGTAAGATCTTATACCTCAAAAAGAAATCAGAATGTTAAGAAAGAAAGGAAGGGGGAGAAATCAACTTCCCTCACCCTCCACAACTCCTCAAACCCTTACAGCAATAGGAAAAGCTTGTTGAAAGAGCTGCTTGTGATAAGAAAGCACTGTTCCTCCATCTCCCCCACCTCCCACTAGAGCTCACAAAGAGAACTAGAACACAACTTCCTCAGCATTCACCACCGTGCCTGCTGAGGTTATTTTTGAACATTGTAGCTAACATCATGCACTGGAAAGGTAATGGTAACTGAAAGCCTTTCTCTAAACATCGGAACAAGACAAGACCACCTGTTTTGGTCATTTTCACAACTTTGTACTTGAAAGTTCTAGCTAGATCAATTAGGCTAGACAAAGAAAGACACCCAACTTGGAAATGAATAAGGAAAACTTTCAATTTTCACAGTTGAAAATCCTAAAGAATCTACAAAACAAAAAAATCTATTAGAGCTAATAAGGTTAGCAAAGTAGATCAAATAAGATCAAAACACAAAAACGATCAAGCCTCAATGTGTTAAATGTGTAGCTAGCATGTGACCCAGGAATTCTGCTACTAGGTATACATCTGAAAGTACTGAGAACAAGTACTTGGATCCTTGTATGTAAAGCAGTGTTCATAATAGCCAAAGACAGAAACAACTTAAGTGTCCATCAGCAAATGAATGGATTGGAAAATGAGAGGCACATATGATATATACATAATGTATACAATACAATACATATAGTGTGTGTATCATATATATTATGCATGTGATCATATGATGATATGTATATGATCATATATAAGATACATACATAATATGTACACATACACGACAATACAATAGAACACTACAAGAATGAAGTTCTCATATGTACAACATGGATGAACCCCCACAATATGATTTAATGGAAGAAGCCAGATAAAAAGGACAAATATTGTACTATTCTGGCACCACAAAACATCTACAATAGGCAAAAGTCACAGAAAAGGAAAAGAAGCTTGAGGTTACTAAGTGCTGGGGTGGAGCAGGGAAAATATAGTGCTTAATTAGCTCCAAGTATCTATTTAGGCTAATGAAAAAGATTGAAAACAGACAATGGTGCTGTTTTCACATCACTGAGAATACAATTAATATCACTCAACTGTATACTCAATTTAAAATGGTAAATTTTGTTATACAACTTTGATCACAGTTAAAAATAAACAGGAGTACTGCTCTATACAACCAACAAACAATCTTAAACAGAAATTAACAGATCAATTTCAGTTACAAAAGCATGAAAACAAATAAATGAATAAATAAAATACTTGGGGATAGATTTCAGATTCTTTGTCACCCCTAGTAAAATTCCAATGGCTTCCCCACCTCCAGGAATGAAAACGCTGATCATACAATCAATATGGCAGCACAAGGTTCCTCAATATACAAAAGAGCATTGAAATGAAAAGAGCTGGAAGACTCAGATTTTCTGATTTCAAACTTTCTTACACCGTTGTATAATCAAGACAATTTGGTATTGGCATGAAGACAGGCACAAAGCCCAATGGACAAAAATCAATGAAATGTACCCCCCCCCACACACACACACAGACACACATATCTATGGCAAATGATTTTCAACAAAGGTCTCAATACAAGTAAACGGAAGAAAGGACTGTTTACCAAAAGGTGCTAGTACAACTGGATATTTGTATGTAAAAGAATGAAAATAAGAGCCAGATGTGGTGGCTCATGACCGCAATCCCAGCACTTAGTATGTGGAAGCAGGGAGAGTAGATGTTCAAGGTCATCCTTAGTCAAAGTTGACTTGGAAGGCAGCCTGAACTATTTGAGACCCAGTCTAAAAGAAAACAAAAGCAGGGGCTGGGGACTTTGCACCATGAGTAAAGTGCCTGCCATGGAAGCGTAAGGACAGTCCCAGTTCAGATCTTCAACACCCACATAAAAAGCCAAGAACAGCTGCACAAATGCCTAACACTAGTAGTGCAAATATGTCCATGGCGGATAGGGGTATCCCTGAAGCTTGCTGGCTGGCCAAGTTCAGTAAGAGACAATGTCTCAAGAAGTAAGGTGGAGCAGGGCATGGTGGTGCACACCTTTAATCTCAGCACTAGGGAGGCAGCAGCAGCAGATCTCTGTAAGGATAGCCTGGTTTACATAGTGAGTTCTAGGACAGACGGGGATGCATAGTGAGATTCTGTCTCCAAAAAAAAGGTAGCTACTGATAAAGGAAGATACCTGGCATGTACACACACACAAAGCACATACATTACACACAAACGTGCACACACACACCCCCAAAAAACCAAACCAAACCAAAAAACCAAAACCAGGGGCTAGAGGGATGGCTCAATAGTTAAGAGCACTACCAGCTTTTCCAGAAGTTCAGAGTTAGATTCCCAACACCCACAGGACAACTCACAACCATCTATATATAGCTCTCCTTCCAGAGGATCTACCACCCGCTTTTGGCCTCTGTGTGGATTGCATAAATGTGGTGCATAGACACATGCACATTAAATTAATTAACTAGTTAATTTAAAATAAAAATAAGGTTGGACCTCTATATCACATTATAGGAAAATCATACAAATATTAACTCAAAATAAAACAAGGATCCAGTAGACATAAAAGCTAAATTATACTAGTATTCTAAACTTTCCCATCCTTAGATTTCAGGATGCAACCAATAAAGGGAAAGTGAATAGTATATCATCAAAATTAAAAGCTTTTATGCATCCAAGACATTAACAAGAATATGAAAAGGCCACCTATAGAATGAGAGAAAATACTTGCAAACCACATGCCTGATGAGAAATTTAAACAACAAAAGAGACAAATCAATTTAAAAATGGACTTTTACAGGCAGATCTCTGTAAGTTCTAGGGCAGCCTGGGCTACGTAGTGATCTTACAGAGATCTTGTCTTTAAAAAGAGTTGAAGAGACAACTCCCTAAATAAAATATACAAATGGTTGGACAGATGTCTCAGTGGTTAAGATTGCTAAGCAATCACAGGGACCAGAGTTCAGATTCCTACAACCATGTCAAAACAGGCATCCTTGAGAAAGTCGGTAACACTCCAGGTCTAGGGAGACAGAAACATAA